TTCGACCTCAGCCGCAGCAACATCTTCTTAGGAACATCAGCAAAGGCAAGGGAAGGGCAAAAATGAACTATTGGGATTTTATCAAGATCAAAAGCTTTTGCACTGCAAAGGAAACAGTTAACAAAACCAAAAGACAACTGACAGAATGAGAGAAGATATTTGCAAACGACATATCAGATAAAGGGCTAGTGTCCAAAATCTATCAAGAACTTAGCAAACTCAACACCCAAAGAACAAATAATCCAATCAAGAAATGGGGAGAAAACATGAACAGACATTTCTGCAAAGAAGACATCCAGATGGCCAACAGACACATGAAAAAGTGTTCCATATCACTCGGCATCAGGGAAATACAAATCAAAACCACAATGAGATATCACCTCACACCAGTCAGAATGGCTAAAATTAACAAGTCAGAAAATGACAGATGCTGGCGAGGTTGCAGAGAAAGGGGAACCCTCCTACACTGTTGGTGGGAATGCAAGCTGGTGCAACCACTCTGGAAAACAGCATGGAGGTTCATGTTGAAAATAGAGCTACCCTATGACCCAGCAATTGTACTACTGGGTATTTACCCTAAAGATACAAACGTAGTGATCTGAAGGGGCGCGTGCACCCTAATGTTTATAGCAGCAATGTCTACAATAGCCAAACTATGGAAATAACCTAGATGTCCATCAACAGATGAATGGATAAAAAAGATGTGGTATATATACACAATGGAATACTATGCATTCATCAAAAGAAATGAAATCTTGCCATTTGTGACGACGTGGATGGAACTAGAGGGTATCATGCTTAGCGAAATAAGTCAATTAGAGAAAGACAACTATCATATGATCTCCCTGATATGAGGGAGAGGAGATGCAACATGGGGGGTTAAGGGAGTAGGAGAAGAGTAAATGAAACAAGGTGGGATTGGGAGGGAGACAAACCATAAGTGACTCTTGATCTCACAAAACAAACTGAGGGTTGATGGGGGGAGGGGTGTTGGGGGGGTGGGGTTATGGACATTGGGGAGGGTATGTGCTATGGTGAGTGCTGTGAAGTGTGTAAACCTGGTGATTCACAGACCTGTACCCCTGGGGTTAAAAATATGTTATATGTTTATAAAAAATAAAAAATAAAAAAATTCATAAAAAAAGAAACAATATTCTGTTAATAAAAGATATATTTAAAACAAAATGTCAGCTGAATTAAAAAAAACAGACACTGAGATTCCATGAACATACAAATCAAAAGAAAGGGTGCAATATTACTATTAGACAAGGTACTAAGATTAAAATCACAAAAACAGGATTAAAAAATATATATGGTAAAAGATACAATTCATTAAAAAATATAATTACAATAGGATGTTAAAATAGAACCAGTCCTAAAATAAGTTGAGGTCCCAAGAATGTGATGGGCTAACTTCTCATTTGAGCTAAATACTCAGTGTACAGAATCAAACAGTTCATCCTGGAAGGGACATTGCCAAAGAGGGTGGCTTGGAGTGGCATAATAGCATATCTGACATACAGAATTTCCATAAGTCAACATTTGGGGGCTAAAGTCAAAAGCAGCCATTAGAGATGCATTTTCTGCATAATAGGAAGTGTAATTTGGAAGTATGAAGTGGACTATTTCAATGAGTCCCACAATAGTACTCCTCAAGATAGAGACAACACTAAAGAATGCCAAACTTGGACAGCACCAATGACAAATGATTATAGTTAGGTCTTTTCCCCTCAAAATGTAACATTTTGAAATTTTATAATAGCCAAGTATAGAGAATTATTTGTAAGGAAGAGAGATTTGTAAATACCCAATATTAATCAGCTTAATAGTCTTCATTTTTATTAGGTTCTTCTACTTGGCATTAACAAAGGAAATCCAGAGGAATGAAAATAAGAAAATCTACCTTATGAAGGTAGAAGAAGAAACTGAAGGTACTCTTGAAAGTATAGTATAATGAAAGTTCCATTTTATAGGATGACTTCTAGCTTCTAGTCATTTTTACCCAGATGATGAAAGCAAGTTCATAGAGAAAATAGAGAATCTAAATGCCGCAACCAACATTCGTTACATTTCCATAAACTTAAGAACTCTGAAGAAATGTTAAACCTCCTACTGGTTTAAAGAAATTCTTAAGGGAAGAAAACCACAAAATGTTTTTGAGAATGTAATTTCTACTCTTATTCACAATTGTTCTAGGACTGTATGGCCAGCCGAAAAAAATATTTGCTTTCTACAGGTGGTAATTTTATTCTCTTTTATTTCAGCTGTCTAAAAGGGCTATAGAATGAACTTAAAATTCTTTCGCATTACACATTAAACACTTTTTTGATTCCTAAATGCCTTTCCATCTCCCACTATGTTCCCAGTGGACTCCTTCTGATCTAGCCAGAGTGGCTTATACGTAGTTCTTCAAACATAACGGACTTTTTTGTTGCCTTGTCTTAACCCATGTCTTTTTCTTTTCTCTGCCTAAAATGTCTTCCCTCTTTCCTTTACCTGGGTAACTTCCACTCTTCTTCAAGACAGGACACCCTGGCATCTCTTCTTCCTCTGCTCAGTTTTCTTCTGCACTTCTGTAATATTCTGCCTCTGTGACAGTCCTTACATTTCAATATTTTAATCAGTTATTTCCTTTCTCATTAAATGGTAATATTTTTCAGGATACTGACCATGTCTAGTTTTCTGCTATTCCCAATAGCTACTTAGCACAGGAGTTGCCACACAGAAGGTATGTGCAAATATGGCCCATCTGCCCTCCGTTTCTTTCTCAGGCATACATACATGCACACAAATATTGAGACATATTCTTTTTGGATATATCTCTGGTGGACTGGTGAGGGATATTACTTCTTCCCAAATTATTTCTTTGCTCATTTAGAAATTCACAGCGTGAAGGTTTGAAAACTTCCCTCTATACTTGTCATTCTCTAAAGAGATATCTCGATTGAGATCATAACCAAAAACATGGTGGATGGTAACTCTTCCTTAAAAAAGGATATGTGTGAATGAGAAAGTTTCATTAATAAATGTAAGAACCCCCATCTGCTTGTAAGAGCAAAGCAGTGCAAGGAATGGGGATGGAAGGATTGTTAATTTGAGGGAAAAAAATCTACATGGCAAAGAAGAAACCAGTTAAAGTTTATTTTTTTTCCACAAACCAATCATCACTGATCAATAATCCTATGACCTGAGATCAGGCTAGTGGTACCAGTTATCAACTTAAGGTTTTTCAATAACTTTTAGAATTAAGGGGATAGTTTAGGTTTTTCTTTAGTAAACATCATAAAGCAAAATGGCCTTTGACTTATGGGTACAAAATTTCCAAACTATTTAGAGATGCCAGCTTTTCATAACAGAATAAGGCAAAAGTTTATTCATCCACATATCTCACACTGCATTGGTTGTTCATTTCCTTCAGTTTGTAAGGGAGCAAATGAGAAGTCTTTCCACAAATTTAATTAACCTTAGGAATTCTTTCGGAGGCAGCAACTGATACAATCTGACATAACAGTGGGGTCTCAATAAATAGTGTTGGCTGATAAAAAATAAAAAGACTATGGGCGCCTGGGTGGCTCAGTGGGTTAAGCCTCTGCCTTCGGCTAAGGTCATGATCTCAGGTTCCTGGGATCGAGTCCCGCATCGGGCTCTCTGCTCAGCAGGGAGCCTGCTTCCCTCTCTCTCTCTCTCTCTCTGCCTGCCTCTCTGTCTACTTGTGATCTCTCTCTGTCAAATAAATAAATAAAATCTTAAAAATAAATAAATAAATAAATAAATAAAAAGACTAGAAGACTAGAGGATAGAGAGCTTGCTCGCTCTACCTCCAATCACAACAAATCATCTCATAAATGCAAACAAGAATGTCGATGAATTAGCACAAAATAATTTCTGTTAAAAAATTCAACAAAACAGAGAAAAAATATCAGTCCAGTGCTTTCTCTGTAGGTTAAAATATAAAGTTACAGTCTTCGTGTTCTCTGAGAATAGCTCAAGTCAGTATAAAAGAAAAAAAAGAAACAAGTTGAATGCAAAGACATTTCTAACTCAAAAACTGAGAAAACTAGAGCAACACTTAATTTGTCTATTTATGTAAATAGTATTTGGAAACATCTGGAAATTTTTTAAATGGACAAAACTTTGGCTAAAGCCTCCCTGACCTAGTGTCTTTTTTTCTAACCCATTCCCCAAACTATTGCTAAAATCACTCTAAAAGCAAAAATCTAATCATGTTACTACTCTCCTCAGAAATCTCTAATGGTACTCTAATACCTATGGAATAAATTAGTCTAAATTCTACATTAGAAGATGATACATTTTTCACCGTCTGATCCCAATTCATCTTTCCAGAGACTACTTCTATCAATCATTTTTCACAATTCTGTTATTTATTTACTACATTAATTCATTTATTCCACAAACTTCTTGTTCTTTCTCTATTAGAGCCATTTACATACTGTTCCTTCTGCCTAGAATAGTCTACTCCCTTTCTGCCTGATGAAATTCTACTTGTCCTTCAAGGCTCAGCTCAAATAGCATCTGCCTTGTGAAGCCTTTTAAGATTCTACCAGGCAGAGTATTTGAATCAACAGATGTACTAGCACAGAATTTTGTACATGCTCTAATATATACCATTAAACATCTGTGTGTCCTGCTATAACAGATTAGGACTACAAGTCTGGGAATATGCTATTATTCCTAGTTTAGAGTACAAAATCTGGTTCATAATACTAGTTTAATAAGTATATGTTTAGACCTCTAAATGTTTCAGATCATTTGAAATGATAGTTCCTGAAACTTATTAAATAGATCAAAGTATTTTTAAAAAGTATTTTCAAATTGCTTTACCTAAAATGGCTTTAAAAAAGTTTTTCTTTTTTTTTTTGCTTTGGTGTATTTGTTAATTACTTCAACTACCACTACATGAACTGTGCAATTATTTTCATTTGAATTTAGTAAAAATCCTGCAAAAGATACTTTCAGTCTGAATATATACAAATACTCACTTCTATATTGGGCAGAGTTATTGTCACCTGTTCACCTTTGCCGACTTCAAGCTCACCTTCACAGGAAGTATCAATAGAAGCAGGTTTGAAGTCATCTAAAAATAGAGACAGATATGGATTTTTACAAAATGGAATAGCTGGGTACCTGGATATTAAAAATACGAACATGTTTCAGCGATAAGTCACTTTGCAACAGCCAGTAATTAAAATGGTTTTAGAAGAGTCTTCATATTACATATAAAATCTAATCTACTTTATTTCCATATGTATAATTCTGAGAAAAAAAGAAACAGCTAAACTCTAAAATAGTATTCCTCAAACCATGCTCCCTCTGAATCCTGTTTAGGTCAAGATAAACTAAACTAAGATGTTCCACTGCTAAAAAATAAATAACGTCAGTGTTTTCACAATTTGGTTAAAAACTAGTACCAGTAGAATGTTTTCAATTTTCAGGCTTTTCCTCCTGTAATTTTTCTTAAGCCATCTTGGGTGTCTGTTATCACTTGTCTTCGGTCCCAGTAGAATACATAATTAATGAATACATGGAAAACACATAGTCATGGGAAAACTTAAGGAAAAGCAATCATTGAGCTAACAGTTTGAGTTTTTCATGAATCCTACCATTAAAGGATATGTAAATTTAACCAAATCTTCAGAAGAACTTAAAATGGGTTTTCATTTTGAATTAAATCATAATTCAAATGTTATTAAAATATATTATTCAGAAGGAATTTAAGGTGCTCAGATATTTCATATACTGAACAAGTTTATAAACCTCTAAGATATGGGAGCAACTTAAAAATAATTCACATGAATTCATATAAACGACTGATAATTCTAATATAGAACTCCTCGGGTAACATATATTTTTTCCAGGTTAACTCTTTATTAAAAGATACATGCAAGCTAGAACATGAGTCATAAGCTTGATGAATTTTCACAAAGTGACACATATGTAATCAGCAACAAGATCAAGAAGCAGAACATTATCAATCCCTAAAAGGCCTACCCCAATTACCCCTACCTCAAGAGACAGATCTTTATATTAACAGGGAAGCCAAAGACAAAAAGTCTAAATCCAAAGTACTGAACATTTATTAGAATTTAGGGAACTATAATAGGTAGATCTTGGGAAAAGAGAATATTCCAGTGTTCATCAAATTATCTTTTCTTTTTTTAAAAATTTTTTTATTTTTTCAGCGTAACAGTATTCATTATTTTTGCACCACACCCAGTGCTCCATGCAATCCGTGACCTCTACAATACCCACCACCTGGATCCCCCAACCTCCCATCCCCCGCCCCTTCAAAACCCTCAGATTGTTTTTCAGAGTCCATAGTCTCTCATGGTTCATCTCCCCTTCCAATTTCCCTCAACCCCCTTCTCACCATCTCCCCTGTCCTCCATGCTATTTGTTATGCTCTACAAATAATTATCTTCTTTCAATAAACAAAAGCTGGCCCTGCTTCCCAATGGTAATTATAATTGCTAATATTTATGGAACACTTACTTCCTGCCAGGCATCTTGTTTAACACTTCATATTTAATTCTTATAACGACTCTAAGAAATGAAATCCATTCTTAACTTCCCTAAGCACATATGAATATAAACAATTCACACTAAATGTTCTTTATAATATGATTTATTCTTTATGCTGCCTTATTAAAAACTGAATACATGCAATATCTCTTAAAACCTTGATGCTTATTTCTAGATTTTAAGAAACAGATAAAAAAATAAAATAAGCAACATGGAAAATGTGAAAGAATTTGATTTACAGTGTATCCTTAAGTAGTACCACTGAGGATAAAGACTGAAAATAAATTGGGTAGTTAGTAGCAGTAAGGTAATGAGAAAGTTAAAAAATAATTTAGGTGTTAAGTTTTGGATGCTTAAAAGAAGTTCTAGAGAAATAAGTGTTAATATCAAGTGACTAAAAGACAATAATATTTAAGAAAACAAATTAGAACTGAGCCTTTAGTATCACAGGAATAAAGAGAAAGTAGAAAGCAGAAGGCAGGAAAATCCAAGAGAATAAACAAAGATACAAAAGTAAATATTAATAACAGCTATTACTCATATAATTACTTATATATTATTTTAAAAATTTCCCTAATTACTATTATCTCAAAGATTCACAAAAATTCTTAAAGTAGTGAATATCCCTCTTACAGAGAAGGCAGAGGATGGTGGGAGAAATTAAGTCCCTTGCCCAAGATCATGTAATTCATATTTGCTAAAGCTAGAATAAGGAACCATAAATTTAGTAGACTAAAAAGATAAGAGGTTAATCAACAACCTTTGTTATCAGCCTTATTTTTTTTAAAGATTTTATTTACTTACTAGAGAGAGAGGGAGAGAGAGCACGAACATGAGTGCACACACAGGAGGGGGTGCAGGTGCAGGGAGAGAGAAGGAGACTTCCCACTGAGTGGGGAGCCACACATGGGGCTCCATCCCGGGACCCCGGGATCATGACCTGACCTAAAGGCAGACACTTAACCAACTGAGCCACCCATGTGCCCCTGATTATTGATACCAACGTTTATGGAGAAAGAAGGTAAGCACAATTTGAGCTAGTAAATATCATTTGAAACCTTAAAGTGAAAACTTCATTTTGTAAGGATGTATACAGAATAAATGAAGTAAATACCACTTAAAATATTTTTGATATAAGTAATTTATCATCATGGCCTATAGGGGTACCCAGTAACAGCCTTTATTTGTCTTAAAGTGTCCACGACCTTCTAATTTTAACTATCCTTCAAGGTTCTGCTCACCAGTGTATGTATTCCTGTAAATGTTCCTCTATCTTCTTCATCACTCACATCTAATCACCATGTCTTTTTCCATAATATCTTTCAGAGCCATCTCCTTCTATTATTGCTGAAGGCAAACTAGTTTTCAATCAACAAAAAGCTAAACTATTAAAGTACCTATAGCTTGCCCATCTGCTTTTGTTTTTGGTCTTAGAATGTGAATCTTGTGGTGGGTATTAAGGAGGGCATGTACTGCATGGAGCACTGGAAGTGATACGTAAACAATGAATCTTGGAACACTGAAAAAAATAAAATAAAAATAGGATGTTAAAAAAAAAAAAGGAATGTGAGTCTTATTTCAAAGTCTCCTCTTCCCTAAAGTAGTCGCTGGGTGGAGCCCTTTCCTTACTCTCCAAAATATTCTTTTTTGGGGGGGGGAGGGGTCCACTTCTTAGCATTTACCATACCACTCATCAAAACCTAACATAAATGACGTGGCATTATTTGCCTCTTCCTGTACATGTCCTTTTGAACTGTAATTATTTTAAGGTATAATGCCTCATACTTTTAATTCCTCCTGAATTATGGCTCCTAGCATAATGTCTTTAATATAATGGGAACATATGAGCTCTTTATAATTGACTCTGGTTGATATATTTATTCTTCTCTGAACTACCTCCAAGCTTATTTTAAGTATAAACTTATTTCAGCTAAATTATGTGCAAAAGGCTTGTTTTCTAATTGTTTCCTGAGGATCAGATTCATCTGTACTTCAAGACTCTCATTTCTTTTAGGTAGATACTGCCATATTCCTTTTGTACTTTTCACTAGTACATTTCTGTTCTCATAGAGGGCACCCAAACTTAATATTTGACAAAAAAGAATTCTCTATGATATATAGGCAAAACAAAAATGACATCTTAGAGCAAAACCATGGCTCTCTGATCGCCCATATTTTTCTGACAGTGACACAAAGGACTATACTGGGAGATATGACTGTATTTAACTACAGCTAAATAATGCTTTAGAGAAGAGGCCAGAAAGGTAACCCAAGGCAGTGAACAAACCACTGGGGAACCGTAGTGAATAAACCCAATCTCAAGAAGACAACCAGCTGCTGCCAAGAGGAATACAGGTTTGGTGTGGCCAGGTTATCTCTAATTTTTGAAAGAGAAGCTGGTCATCAGATTTCTGTATAAAATATCTTGATATTTACACATTTACAACAAATTTATGTTAAAACAACAACTGTGTGGGTGAAACAAAGAATCTCTACTGTCAAATTCAGCCAATAGGCTGTTAATCTATAACCTGTGTTATAGTGTTCAAATACTGATTCTTTTTCTTTATAATATATCATCACTTTTTTTAAGATCTTATTTACTTATTTGACAGAGAGAGAAAGCGAGAGAGGGAACACAAGCAAGGGGAGTGGAAGAGGGAGAAGCTGGGATCATGACCTGAGCTGGAGGCAGACACTTAACGACTGAGCCACCCAGGCGTCCCAATATATCTTCACTTTTGATCTTCACAACAACTCTTTGAAGATTCTCACCCACATTTTACCAATAGGGAACTCCTCTAAAGTAATGAAGCCAGTAAAAAATCAAGTCAGGAACTCAAGCCACATACTCCATCCACTCATAAAATATAGCTTTTTTGACTTATATTCAGTTCTTAACTTTTGCATGTATTGGGGGGGGTTGTTAGGAGGTGAGGAATAGTCATAAGTCCCTTTGGGAATCTGATGAAAATTACAGATCAGCTATAGATCTTCTCCACAGGAAAAAATATGCATGTGTGAACATACATATCAAGTAACGTGTAATTTTAAGAGATTCACAAGTCCCTGAAGTCTAAATGTCTATGGGACAACTACAAGAGACAAACGTATTCAAAATAGTTGTAGCTTTACTTAATGATAAGGATGAACTTATAAACAATAAATCAAAACTATTCTGAACCTATTTATATTTCTAATTATTTGCTGTTTGAATAAGTTTTACTTTTTATTACTTTCTATATTAAGATCATCTTTTATTTACTTTCAAACAAGTTTTTTTAAGTATACAACTTTTGAGTTTCAAGTGAACAAATTATAGACATAGAATTATAGAATTTGTTGAGTAATCTCATGTTTTCCATATGCTTCCAAATGCCAAATGTATTTTCAAAACTGCTATAATTCCAGACTACGCAGTTTCTTTCTTTCAGTTCTTCTTAGTTTGGAAAACTCACCATTAATTTTACTATTTATTTATTCTCTGTAGATTTCCTTCATCTATGTTATTTCTTCTTTTTTTATAAGATTTATTTATCTATTTTAGAGAGAGAGAGAGTGAGAGGGTGCAGGGGGAGGGATAGGAGAAGGGGTGGAGGAGGAGTAGAGGGAGAGGGAAAATCTCTTGATTTCATGATGGGCTTGATTTCCTGATTCTGAGATCATGACCTGAGCCAAAATCAAGAGCCTGACGCGTCACCAACTGAGCCACCCAGGTGCCCCTATTATTTTCTTCTTTATAGTGCAATTACTTATATTATGCATAGAGTAGAAAAACATTTCCTACTTTGAACTTAATGCTTTTTCAGTCAATGCTGATCACTTTTCTGACTATTTCAGCTGTAGTGTCACATAATGTCTATATCTCCATAAAAGAATCACGATTACTATCATAAATTTACTTCCTGGGATAAGAACTAATTCAACTAACTCCAAAACCCATACCCTTTCCAACATACAACATTGATCAGAGAACATTCATTGTAAATATAATTTTAATCCCATTTTCATTAGTGTACTTTCTAATGTTTGCTCACACCAAAACTTAATCACTTTTTGGGTAGTACTCCACTTGAAGCCTCAGACTCTTCCTGTAGTCGCTGCCCTTGAGTTTATCATTTCGTGTCAGCAAAAAGTAGTGTCATTTACACACTTGGGAATTTCAATGTCTAGTTCCTTATCTAGATATAAATTGTAAAATTAGCATGAGCCCAAATTCAAAAGTTATTCTAGTGTGTGCTGTTATTCAAACTCTTCCACCCAGTGTAGTATCTGTTGCTAAACATTTAGCTTATCATTTACAGACCATCCCATGTCTTCCCTACCACATGCCAGACTGTATTTTTGATAGGTTTTATTGCTAAGCCCTGGTAAATGCTTTTGTAAGTCTAAGTTAATTATATTCATCGGCATTCCTCATACACACATGGATATAACCCTTCAAGAATAATAGTGACTACTTTATTCTCTACCATGCACCAACTACTGTGCTAGGTTGTTTATGCGATTTTATTTAATCCTTAAAAAAATCTCTGAAATGTAGATATTATTGTTACCATTTTTGTACAAGAAAACTGAGGCTGAGGGTTTAGAGCATGTTCCAAAAGTTACATTACATACATAGGTGGTGGAGGCCATAATTCATGTCCAGTTTTGTACAAAGCCTCAGCACATTAGACAGGCATAATTACCCCTGTACATAAACATAGAATATTATTTTCTCCCAGATTATACTGACTCAATCTAGTGTTTGTTATAAATTAGGTCCACCTGAACGAAAGTAAGATTTCCTGTTCTATAGTTTCCATCCCTTACTCTGAGTCTTTAAGAGTGAGGGTCATATGGTAAATGAACCTATCCTCAAGGATAATGATTGTTTTTATTCAAATAAATCTAGAAAGATTCTGCCTGCTTCAACAAGAATAAAACTGAGGCTAAAACCTTTCTTATGTCTTCCACAGCACTAAGTGTATTCAAACCTATGGGTTTATTGTGATTGTTATTCCTATGGTTCTTTTGTCTATTTTTGTTGTTTTTTTTTTCATTCTTGTAGATAGATCAACTGATTCTTGAGCTCTAAAGGCACAATTCCAGCATGTTGAAGCACTTGCAAGGAGGTTTTCAAAGGCTATTTTATATTCTTTTCATATAGGATTCATGTCCTTAAAAGAGAATATATACCCAAGTTATATGAAAATATAACAATCAAACAAATGAATAAGCTTTCATAATCTTAAACTTTATGATTTGAAAAATTATTAAAAGGGTTACTGCAAATCTGAGAAAGAAGAGGAGAGAGGAGATACTATTTGCAACAAAGGGATGGAGAAATCAGGTAAAAGCTATATCATACTTTTGGAAAATGGGACTGAAGGAGAGAAACTGCATAGCCAGCACCAACTGTCTCACTGTGGTTAATGTTAGATGACAAATATGGCAAAGCAGAAAAAACAAAGGATGGGGTGCCTGGGAGGCTTAGTCAGTTAGGCAGTTGAGTCTTGATCTCAGGGTTGTGGGGGGAAAAAACGAAAACAAAATAAAAGGACCCTGTTGAAGATCACCTGTTAACAATTATCTACCCAGTTTATTCTACCAACTGGATGTTAATTTTGCTTAACAAAACCCTTTTATAAAATGCAAATATATCCTTGGAGAGTTAAACCTATTGGTCTTTATACTTTTACCCTGAGTTACTATAATTAGATTGTCAATAACTATAAACTTTTAGAGTCTGTTGAGTTTTAAATTGGGTATTTTGATTTAAGCATGGAGCAGTTCAGAGTAAAAACCACGAAGATCTCTGATAGTCTAAGCACTGACAAAGGTAGAATGATGAGACACTCAGGAAGAACAAGGCAGGGAAAAGGAAGTGAAAAAATACCTACTTTACAATTTTGCCACATAAAAATAAGAGGTTATGATTCAAAGATCTTAAAGTTTCCTTTCTGCTCTATAATTCTGAGGGCTACTATGCAAAGAATGAAATGTTTTACATACCAAATCATAGTATGCTATATTTTCCTTCCTGGAATCTATACCATCCAACATTAAAATAAAAGTTCCTTTTTCTAACTCAAGATAACAGAGGGTAATTTATCAAAACTAGTTCCAGAGGACAATCAAAAGGAGAAATCAAAGGGCAGTAAATAACTTTCTAAAAAAATGAATAACACATCCTCCAGTATTTTGATAATCAGTATTTGATCATTGTCTGAACGAAATTAGGGGTCAAAAGAGATACAGATTACTGGAAAGGTTCAGAATATCTACCCAGGAACACACGAAACAAGAATTCTCAACAGCCAAAGACAGAAAAAGTGAAGAAAAGAGGGAATATTTCCCTACCAGCCTCAAGGCATTCCTTTCCTCCGCATAATAGTTCGGTACTTTGCATCCTTCCATCTGTCACCTTACTATTTCCCTGTCCATCGCTGCATCATCTACCAGTCACGTCTATCTCCACAGTCACCCCTGTAGGTCTCCTCCACAAAATTTCCCTCTCTGCTTCTTGGTCTCACTCGAATCTCTCTGCCCAGGGTTTACCCACACCTGCTCAACTCCGGCTCCTTCCACGAAACCCCTGGGACTCCAGGCAGAGCAACGGATAGCGCTGGACACCCCATTCTCCAGCAGACTAAGGGGGTCCGTGGGAACACAGCTCTGAGAGGTTTGTGCCTCCACACCCCCATATCCAGAGTTCCCTCTTACTCCCGGGGACCGTCCTCACTCACAGCGTACGGTGTGGAAGGCGCAGCGCGGCTGCTTCTCAAAACTCTCGCCTAACTTGAGAACCCGCTCGCGACGGTCCATGTGCGAGAGTCCCGCTGCTCCATTCATCATTTTTCTCTGGCTGCGACTTTGCATTGGCCACCTGCGCTCCCTCTCGTCTGCCACCTCATCCTGAAGCAGCTGCACTTGCCCCGGCCGGGACAGCCGGAAGACTCCGCCCCGCGCCTGACGCGCGCAGCCCCCTGGGCTCCTCTCGCGTGCTGACTGGCTGCCCGGAGGGGACGCCCCGCCCCCTCGCTCCGAGGATCCTGGTCCCGCCTCCAGGCCCTTTCCCGCGTTGCGACGCACGCCGCCGCGAGAAGGCCGCGCAGCTGAGGTGCTTGGTGGGAGCAGGGTCTCCTGGAGGAGAACACGAAGAGAGGATGAGGTAACCCACCTGAGGTGGCGATTGTGGAAGGAGAGAATCTCGAGGTGCCGGGAAGCCAAGGCCACAGGGTTTCGGGGCCAAGCGTCCCGGCACATAGCCGCTCGTAGCGGGAGGATTTGCGCCCTTTTGTGGAGATCTGTAGTAGAAACTGAGGCCCGGGGAGGGGCGAGAGCGGGGCACAAGGCCCGGTGTCTTGCCCAAGGCCTGGTACCGCCGAGGCTGGGTCTAGAATCCGGAGCGAAGGAGCTCGCGGCCTCGGAGTCTCGGACCTTGGACCTCACTGGAGGTGACGCCGTTACCTGGGCAATCGCCTTATGATCTTTTCCAGAGAAGTTCCCGGTGGTGTTAGGACCGGGACAGGGGACGGGGAGGAAGGGGAGAAAAGATTCGGAGTTAGAAATTACAGATTTCGGATCAGTTGCAACCAGATTGCATTAGGTAGCCTTCTTTTATTTATTTCCTTCACAGTGATTCTTGGAGGCAGTAACAGGCACGGGCAGGAAGACGAAATTCCCAAAGGATCAAGGCCCAAGTTCCTGCTGTGGCAAAGGGTAATAGCATTAATAATTGAAAAATAATTGTCTTTTATTTTTTTCCTGTTTAAAGTTCACGAATTTCATGGTAAAGATGAGGGAAGTGTTGTATTAGAGGAGAAGCATCCAACAAAAGTTTACAGATGGTTGTCGCAACCGGTGTTTGTTTTTCAGGGTAAGTATGTAATCAAACTCTACTCTTTCTTAGTCAAATTCATCTATTTATCGTTTTAGCCAAGTACATGCATATGTCTCCCTTACTCTATCTGCTTGTTTAAATTCTACTTTTTAAATAAGTATTAAGATTGTTTAGTGTGGTAATTAAATGCTCAGGTTCTGGAGCCAGAATTTTTGTATTTCAACCCCAGCTTCCTACTTTACAGTGTGACTTCATGCAAACTAAAATATGCCCTTCATTAAAATCGGGGGTGGGGGGGATAATAGTGCTTACTCCTTAGAGTTGTTGAGAGGATTAATTGAATTAATACATGAGGGGATTTAAAACAATTCACAGCACATAGTAAAGTCTCTCCAAATGGTTGTCATTATTGACGTATAACTCCACTGTCTGGCAATATTTTAGAACCATCCTTGGTTTCTGCTTTCTTTTCTAAATCTTGAATTATTCTAAAAAGTAGGAATTGCTATTTTGTTTACAGATAAGAAAACTGGTTGAGAGAAGCCCACTCCTCTGACCCTGTGGTTTGTTTTCTTATCATCTCTGTCATCTAGTTGGCACTTAAAGTATTTTATATAATTAAGTATTTTATTTTACACATGTGTATAAACATGCATGTATACTTTTTCTTTCCCAACCAGAACATGAACAACAGGGAATCTGTCCCATATAAAATTCTTATGACTGATGCATCTAACATAGTGCCCTACACACGTGTTTGGTGATAATAATGTTTCAGTGGTGTTTTATTATGTTAACTAGAGGGGAACCACAGTGTTTTAAGCCTATTTTACTTAAAAAAGACTTTCATTTAGAAATTTGAGGTTTATGTATTATAATAAAAAAGAAAGCAGAGAGTCAAGAAATTGAGATACTACCTTACAGCAGTTAGAATGGCAAAAATTTACAAGGCAGGAAGCAACAAATGTTGGAGAGGATATGGAGAAAGGGGAACCCTCTTAAACAGTTGCTGGGAATGCAAGTTGGTACAGCCACTTTGGAAAACAGTATGGAGGTTCCTCAAAAAGTTTAAAGTAGAGCTACTGTATGAGCCAGCAATTGCACTACAGTGTATTTACCCCAAAGATACAGTTGTAGTGAAAAGAAGGGGCATATGCACCCCCAATGTTTGTAGCAGCAATGTCCTCAATAGCCAAACTGTGGAAGGAGCCGAGATGCTCTTCCACATGCAAATGGCTAAAGAAGATGTCCATATATACAATGGAATATTACTCAGCCATCAGAAAGGATAAATACCCACCATTTGCATTGACATGGATGGAACTGGAGGGGATTATGCTAAGTGAAATAAGTCAAGCAGAGAAAGTCAGTTATATGGTTTCACTTACTTGTGGAACATAAGGAATAGCGTGGAGGAAATTAGGAGAAGGAAGGGAAAAATGAAGGGGCGTGGAATTAAGAGGGGGAAACAAACCATGAGAGACTATGGACTACTGGAAACTGAGGGTTTCAGAGGAGAGAGGAGTGGGGAAATGGGATAGCCTGGTGATGGGTATTAAGGGGGGCACGTATTGCATGGAGCACTGGGTGTTATATACAATCATAGAACACTACGTCAAAAACTAATGATGTACTGTATGGTGACTAACACAACATAATAATAAAAAGTTTTGAAATGCCTGTATAGCATGGAGCACTGGGTGTTATATACAAACAATGAATCATGAACACTATGTCAAAAACTAATGATGTACTCTATGGTGACTAATATAACATAATAAAAAAAAAAGTAAGTTTTGAAATGCCCAAAGTTTGTACTTTTATTCCCTGCTTCAGCTTATATTTATTAACTACCTACCAGGTATAGGTTAAGGCACTGGTCTAGCCCCTGGGTAAATGGCAGTGAATAAAGAGATAAGAAGGCAGCAACCAAGGGTGGTATGAGTTTTACCTACTGGTGTGAATTTTCACCAAACATGTATTAAAATGAACCAGGTTGTACCAGCCCTGGAATTAAAAAAAAAAAAAAAATCAGATTAATGAATTAAATAGAGTTCAAAAATGTACCCAAGTGACATTTCAGATTGCTTTGTTTATATCATTCATGACATATTACTTCAGGAATTTATGATAGCTGTATGCATTTGTTCTTTTCTACAAATCTATAACCTCATCTAACTTAAAAAATATAGTTAGGTTTCTGTCATACACCATTCACGAATAAGTGTGTATTGAAAATATAAAGATATAAGTGAATGAAGATAGCACTAAAACTAACCATAAAAACACCAGAAAAAATTAAGAGACTGTATTTTAGATTTTAAGGTAGGGAGAACCTTTCTAAGAATGTCACCAAGGTAGATGTCATAGAATAGAAGATTGTTACACTTGAGTACGTGGGAATTGTAAAACTGTGATAGAGACACTATATTTAAACTTAAATAAATGACAGACAATGAAAAATTGTTTACAGCCAATATAAAAGGTAAAGGGTTCAGATCCATAACAAAAGCTGAAAGCTTCTACAGAAGAAGAAACCAATATATAAATTGTTGAAGGATATGAATAGAAACTATATAAAAGAAGAAGCAGACAGTGAACATGAAATGTGCCTAATTGGTCTAATAATCAAAGCAATACAAATTAAAACAAGATGATGCCATTTTTCATCTAGTAGAAATGTAAAGGATAGCAGTATGTATTAAGGAAGGCTTAGTAAAATGAACACCCTCATGTGTTGCTAGTTGAAATACAAATTGGAACACCCATTTGAACACCCAGGTGGTTTAAATATATTTTGATGCACTCTTACAAAGGAAGCATAGCATAATGCAGCCACTGGAAGGAGTGAGATAATTGTATCTACTCTCTTGGAAAGTTGTATGTCTACTATGCACCAGGAGTGACACCAGGAGCTGTGGTGGGCTTTCTTTGAAATATTTTCAGAAAATTTTTTTAAGATTTTATTTATCAAATTTTTTTGTGATTTATATTTTACTTAAAGGAGTAACATTTCGATGCTTGTATTATATCCAAGTCTTAGGTATAAAGGACAGTGGTGCCAGTGGTGAAGAATAATAGCTAAAAGTGGGTGAGTTAGAAGTGTCATTTGGGAATACATTTTGTGTTTTTTACTGTTTTACATGGAAGGGAAGATAATTAACATTGTAGCTAAAACCATAGACTTTGGAGTCAGACTGATCTGGATTTGAATACTGACTCCATCATATGCTGGTGGAATTCTGGTAAGTTTCTTCTTGAAGCTTTATTTTTCATATCTGTAAAATGAGATGATTACAGGCTCTACCTCATACTTCTGTTGTGAAGATTTAATAAGATGATGTATGTAAAAGCATTTACCCCTGTACTTAATTCATGTAAGTAAATATAAGTAAAGATTGTACTTTTCATTAAATAATGATATCTTTGAGCTTTGAATGCCTTAAAATTTTTTTGTAAAGTTTTAACAAATTGGGATGCATTTTTTATTTAATTTTAAGATAATTTTATTTACTATGCTATTTATAAACAAGCTTTTGTTATCTTGTAATTACATTTCATTTCTGAGTTGTGTGTTGGGGATCCCCAAGACCAACCCTAGATTCAGTGATTCACTGGGAAGGCTCACAGTTCTTAGGATATAGTCATATTTGTGGCTGTGATTTATCACAGTGAAAGGATACAAAGCAAAATTAACAAAGAGAAAAGGCAAATGGAACAAAATCCTGAGGAAGGTGCAAACTTCCAAGAATCCTCTCCCAGTGTATTACATAGGACACACTTAATTCTTCCTATAATGAGTTCTGACATTTTGAAGTGTTGTCTACCAGAGAACCTCAGTAGAGACTCAGTCACAAAGGTCTTTATTGAAAGATGGTCATGGGGGCACCTGGGTGGCTCAGTGGGTTAAAGCCTCTGCCTTCGGCTCAGGTCATGATCCCGGGGTCCTGGGATCGAGCCCCACATCGGGCTTTCCGTTCTGCGGGGAGCCTGCTTCCCCCTCTCTCTCTGCCTGCCTCTCCGCCTACTTGTGATCTCTCTGTCAAGTAAATAAATAAAATCTTTAAAAAAAAAAAAAAAAGAAAG